AGCCCTGTCTTCAATCCCCAGTACTGCAAAATGAAGGAAGGGATGAATGGATGAATGCAGTCCACATTACTGTGTCACATCATATCAAAATTTCTGTCACCAGAGAGACAGCCAGTGCTGTATTTTATTCCTTGGTTTCTCTGTTATATCACTGCCAGATGTATGGTTGCATTGTCTTCTAAAAAACGGGGGGAAAAAACATGGAATAGATCAGAGAACATAGAGAATGTATTGATCCTTTTTTTTCTTTCTTCAGTTTTAGAATCTAGCAAAGTTAGAAGTGAAATCTGTCTAGGATCAAAAAATGTTAAAAGAAGTAGATAACTAGTGGCTTCTCTATTGCTAATGGCCTCTATTAGTAGCAATGTAAGATGGCAGCAGTCATCAATGAGTGCTACAGAGTACCACAAGCACATCTGCACGCTCAGCCTCTCCATGTGTGCTGATGTTGACACACGGCAGGTACGCCCCCAGTGACAGGGTATTCCTGGCAGGTAGATCAGTGGTGATCTCCGCAGCTCAGGCACTTTGCAGAGGACGTTGGAGTTGCCCAATATTAACCACTACCACATGCCTTGGTGCTTTCTGCAAGGCTGCTTCAGATCCTCCCTTTCCCCCTTTTTATTCTACTTGCCAAGTTCCAAAACCAGATGCTGCTTTTATGGAAAAGTCTAATTGCTGTGGAATCTAACGTATGTCCTACTTCCTTATCCAAATCTCCTCCTTCCTGTTCTGCTGACAGCCTTCCTGTGACTCATCTCCAGATTATGGGTAGTAAAGAACCACACCTCTCCCGGTCCCGCCTGCACACACCACTTAGCATCTTGGCCTCTGGAAGAAGACTTTCGTGAATTATGTTAATCATGAGTTGTTAATAGAGACCTGCCTTAGAAACACAGAACAATAAATGACAAATTAGTTTTTCTTTCAGCCCCATGTGCTTGTCCCCCACATCCCACAGCCTAAACAATTTTTGTAAGTCATGTGGCATGCGGCATGCCTGGAAGATTCAGTGTACAGTAGCCTGTGCCAGGTTCATTTGTCAGCTCTAACATCTTAAATTGGTTTTGAATCATTAAAAAGAGACAAAAAGAAGCAAAACTTAGCTGCCTTAACGGGCAGTGACGAATGAACCAAATGGTGACAAGATGTGGGAACTGAGATTTCTGCACTTTTGACTGGTAGATACTTGTGAATGAATTCCTAGTGTTCGTTCAATTTGATGCGACCATGAAAAAAATAATGCCTTTAAAATCCACATGCCAAATAACTCTGAGGCAGACACCTCCCTTGTTCACATTTCCCACTATAACAGGATGCCTTTTCTGTTCAGAGGGTGAGAAAACATATCCTGCTAACATGCCTGCCTCACACACAGGCAGCCTCATGACACAGGTCAGGCTGTTGATGTTTTAACAAAAGTCTTCTGGGTATTTTTGTGGAAGCTCTTGTGCTCCTGATCTGGGCAGTGCCCCTTCCAGATGATGACAAACCTAGAGCTGTAGCAGCCATCTTACAGTCATGAGGCAATGAGCGTGAGCATTGTAACTTACAGCTAAGGATGGCAGAGAAAGATGGTAGGGACTGTGTCCAGAATGGCCCACTGCCTCCTTTGCTAGCCCCAGACTTCTTTATCACTTTGACTAAACATCCCATTTGTTCAAGTCAGTGTTAATGTGGTTCTTTGTTACTTGAAGCCAAAGGCAATATGACCTTAGCTTCTGCTTCTAAATCCCCAAATTAAAGTTATATTCTTAAGTTTAGAGAAAAGCCAAGTGACCATCTTATCTTACACTAATTTGGGATCTGGATTTTGAGGCTCTTCAAAAGCCTATTGTATTTCTTACAGTCAACACTGATGTGATTAAATGTAAGCAAATGAAACAATAAGCAAATACGTAATTATACATCAACAGTTACTGGATCTCAGAATAAAGGTCAACTATTGCATCAATGGAGTTATATTACATCAATGGAATTATACCTTTTCAATTGGCCAAAATTGAGTCTCACAATACCAAGTGTCTGCAAGATCACGGAGAAATGGAATCTCTCATACTGCTGGTGAGTGGATGAGCTGGTGCAGCAACTTTGGAGATGAGTGCACATGTGCACCAGTGGTAAGCAGAAGAACATTTGCTGTAACACTGTTTTATAAAAGTGAAAACCTAGAGACAGCCTAGGTGTCCAGTAGGGGAATAGATGAAAACACTGCAGTGCAAGCTAAAGGCCCTCGAACAGAACTCAAGCAAAACCCTGATGTGCACATTGATATGGGGAGATTTAATGGTACCCTTGAGCCAGCACATGAGAGGCAAATGCTAAAATCACAGGAGTTTGGTAAACTGGTTGATATCACATCTGTAGCTGTGACAAGTACTTACAATGTGGAAATTGGCAAAGGCGATAGATAATTCCTTTTCTGTCCACAAGAGATGGTGGTTAAATATTTACCTGCACATCACATGGATAGATTTCAAAAAACAATATTTATTTTTAAAGGCAAGTCTTGGAAGAGAAGGAAATAGGGAGTTGTTGAATTGGTATCAAGTTTCAGCTATGCAAGATGAATTTGAGTTCTGGAGATCCATCTAGCACAGCATAGTCAACAGTACTCTATTCAAAAATCTGCAAAGAAGGTAGATCTCATGTAGAGTTCTACATAATAAAGGGACACAAGGGAAATTTTGGGAGTGATGAATATATTTTATTTTTGGGTACTCAGGATTTAACCCAAGGACGCTTAACCACTAAGCTACGTCCCCTTTTTATTTTTTATTTTGAGATGGGGTCTCACAGAATTTCTTAGCGCCTTGCTAAGTTGCTCAGACTGGTCTTGAACTTGCAATCCTCCTGCCTCAAGCTCCTGAGTCACTGGGATTACAGGTGTCTGCCACTACACCTGGCTGTGGATATGGTTTTTATCTGAATTGTGGTCATGGCCTCACAGGTGGAGCATATGCCCAGTTTCATCAAATTGTATCCACTGCATATACACCTCCAAAAAGCTATTTTTAAAAGTAAGCTGTAGAATAACAACAGTATGATGGCATATGCTTAAAGTTTTAAAAACATGAAGAAATGTTATCTATTGGAAATATTAGTGAATACTAATAAAACATGGTCTAAAAGGATAGATGCTAAAATTGTAATAATCATTATCTCTGCAGAAAGCACTATGATTGGGATGGTGAAAGGAAGAAGATGGCTTAAACACTTTGTTAATTTATTTTATTATTTATTTTTGTTATTTATTTTATTTTAAAATATCTGGAGCCAAGAAAAAGTGTTAACACTGGTTGGGTGGTAAGTATAGACTATTTACCCTCTTTACTTATTTCTGTTATTTACATTTCAAAATTAAAGGGTAAAAAAAGTGGGGAGTCAAAGAAAATTTGCTCATCATTTTTCATGGATGCTGTTGGTGGGACTGTCACATGGTAAGCCACTGAAAAAAAGAGTTTGGCCAACTCAGAAGGTCGGGGGTCCTGTGTTTCCTCTACTATGTAGAAGCTAGAGAGGAAACAGGAAGAGAAAGGTGGCAGAGAATCATATGAAAATTGAAGGGAAGAAAGGAGCCAGGGGAGGGAAAGGGGAAATCCTGGGGAATGACATTGGTTAAATTATATTGTTATATCATGTGTATCTGCAAAGTGTGTCACGACAAGTCCCACCATTATGTACAACTGTAATGCGCCAATAAAAATAGGGGGGAAACATTTTTTAAAAATGAAATGATTTGACATGTCCTCAAAAAAATAGAATTACCATATGGCCCAGCAAATCAGCTGTAGGTATATACCCAAGAAAATAGAAAAAATGTGTTCAAACAAAAACTTGTACATAAATGTTCATAATAGCAAAACTCATAAGAGTGAAAGAGTGGAAACAACCCAGATGTCCATCAGCTAGGAATGGGATAAATAAATTCAGTTTATAAACTAGGTTGGCTGGAAGGAAAAGTAAGTGTTGGTGAGAATGTGAAGAAATTGGAACCCTAGTGCATTGCTGGTGGGAGTGGATAGGGTGCAGCCGCTTTGGAAAATAGTTTTGCAGTTCCTCAAAAAGCTAAACATATAGTGGACATATGATCCAGAAATTCCTCTTTTCCATATAACCCAAGAGAAAGCATACATCTTTAAAATGTTTAAACTTCTACATGAATATTCATGGCAGCATATTAATTATAGTATGTCCATATTATTCAGCCAAAAAAAAAAAAAGAGTGAGGGACTGATACATGCTACAACATGAATGGACCTTGAAAACATTCTGCTAACTGAAAGAAGCCAGTGGCTGAAGATCATATGTTGTATGCTTCTATGTTCTATGATTCCATTTACATGAGATTTCCAGAATAGGCAAATTCATAGAGCCAAAAAAATAGATTAGTGGTTGTCAGGGGCAGGGAAGAGGGAAAATGGGGAGCGACCACTTGATTAGTATAAGGTTCCCTGTTCCAGAATTAAATAGTGATAATAGTGAAAAATGCTGTAAATGAACTTAAATTTGCTGAATTGTACACTTTAAAATGGCTAATATGATTATGTAAAAATGTGAGTGTGTAACCGATGTGATTCTGCAATTTGTATTTGGGGTAAAAATGGGAGTTCATAACCCAATTGAGTCAAATGTATGAAAGATGATATATCATGAGCTTTGTAATGTTTTGAACAACCAATAAAAAAAAGAAGAAAAAATGGCTAATATGGTGAATTTTTATGTCATGTGAGTTTTACCTCGATTTAAAAAGCCATTTAAACTATGATGCATCAGCTATACTAAGATGATACTACATTGTAGGAAAAATGTGTCCTTAGAGTTGATGAATGTGATACATATTTGATTATAGAAATTTGAAGTTTTTATATAAACAGGTTAGGAATTTTGTTTTTGTTTCAAGAAAGTTCTGATATGAACAGGGCCCATGAGTTATCTCCAGGGCTCAGGAACCCAGAATCCTGTATATCCTATATTCAGTGTTTGGTTTCCGTCCTCAGAGTTACTTGATGGTGCAGAGATGGCTGCTGGAATGCAAGCGATCACTTCACATCACAGGGATCAGCAGGAAGAGGGAAAGGACACAAATGCCTTCCTCCCAGGTAAGTTAACTCTCTTGGATCAGAATAAAGGTATGGTTAAATAAATCATGAGCACAATCTGTAAATGGGAAAAGCTCTATGAAAACAGCCTCCTTATTTGTTTCATCAGAGTGTGAAACAGGACCTAGCACAGAGCACATTGAAGGCACTAAAAGAACAATGCGGGAAATGACTATACCTGCAAGGATATGGATAATGTATCATACAACCTTTTAATTGTTTTCAAAAATAATAAACAGGGAAATGTTCATTATAATGTGAGGAAGTAGAATATTAAAGTATACTTCATGTAGTCCCAATTTTATTTAAAAAGCTACATATGCCTCAAAAAAAAAGGTTTGGAAGAAATATAATTTCTTAAGTGATTTTCTAAATTTATGGTGAAATTGCTTTGTCATTTAATTATTTCTGCCTGCTTGTATACTTTTCCAAATTTCTGCAATGACTGAAAGTACTACTTTTTCTACTTAGAAACAAATCAATAAGCTTAAAGCCAACTAGAAAAGGTACACGACAAAAGAGGGCACCAACAGCCACTTGAGCCATGAAGGGAGCGAGCCCAAGCACCTGCTTTAGGCTTCCTTCCCAGCAGCTGTGTTGTAAGGCTGCGGGGAGATGCTGGCATGTGAAGCTGTGCTGGCCCCTGCATTTTGGGGTAGCAAATTGTTTCTCTACTGATAGCACACTTTTTTCCTTCAGTCTAATGGATGTTCAAATAGATCTCATTCTTTCAACATGAAAACAGTGTTACCACAGGGAAGGTTACCCATCCATCAGAGTAGACTGACCCTCTGTTCCCACATGAATCCACCTGATCACTTCACATGATCACATTGATTACTGAACTCAGGACTTCTTAGCATGGGATGCACCCACCTCTCCCGCCACACCCCAGAATACCTGTTCCTATTGCTGTGGCTAAATTGTGTCCTCCTCTAAAAATTTAAATGTTGAAGTTTTAGTATCCCAGACTATGACCGTTATCTGGAGACAAGGTCTTTTCATTGTATTTTTCATTTTTAAAAATTTTTTAGTTGTAGATGGGCATAATACCTTTATTTTGTTTATTTGTCTTTATGTGGTGCTGGGGAACAAACCCAGTGCCTCACCCATCCAATACTATACTACTGAGCTATAGCCCCATCCCTTATTTTCATTTTTTGCAGTCCTGGGAGTTGAACCCCAGGCCTCACACATGCTAAGGCAAGTGCTCTAACACTGAGCTTCCTCCCCAGCCCAGGGAGAGGGTCTTTAGAGAGGAAATTAAGTTAAAAGATTATTAGTATGGACCCTAATCCAGCATGGCTAATGTCCTTATAAGAAGAGGGCATCAGTAGACAGCCATGTACAGAGGAGGACCCTGTGGGGACAGAAAGGGAAGGAAGCTATCTCAAGCCACAGACAGTCCTTGGAAGAAACCACCCCTGCTTCTGGAGACTTCTGGTCTCCAGAATTGCAAGAAAATAAATGTCTGTTATTTATTGCCACCCAAAGATTCTTTGTTAAGCTAGCCCTGGCAAACTAACATTATAATCCATCATGCTGATGACGTTTGGTAACTGGTTAATTTTGAGTCACCTTGGCTAGATTCTGGTGCTCAGTTGTATGGTTAAACACCAGTCTAGATGTTGCTGTGAAGGTATTTCTTAGATGTGATTAATATTTAAATCAATAGAGTTCAAGTAAAACAGAACACCTTCCATAATGTGGATGGCCTCATCCAGTCAGTTGACGGCCTCAAGTGAGAGGACTGAGTTCTCTGAAGAGGAAGAATAATGCATCCAGTCTGCCTTCAGACTCCAGACCACGTCAACTCTTGATAGAATCTGCAGCCTGCCAGCCAACCCCAACTCCCCAGGCCCCACAATCACAAGAGCCAGTTCCAGAAAGATCTTGCTCTTGCTGTCTAGAGCTCTCTTTCTCTCTCTCATGTATGTATATACATACCCACACATATACATGTGTGTATGCATATATGCATGTGTGTGTGTATATATGTGTATATGTGTAAACCACGTGACACCAGCCCTTGGTCACTACAACAGATTTCTCCAATGACTACTGCATAATATTCCACATACTCAACTCTGTGCTCTTGCACTCATTTTATGTAAGATATATATTTACTTATTTCCAGATTTGTAGATGGAAGAACTGGCCAAATTCTTGCATCCAAGTAAATTAATTCCTCGGCATGCAGTTCTCTTTTAGGTTTTCATGAATGGTACTAGGTTTTGCAAGAGGATCTCACAGCTGAATGCAGAGAAAAACGGAGAGGGGGTATTTATCCAGAAGCCTCACCATCTACACCACAGTGTGCTGACAACCAGGAAATTCCAAGAGGATGAACAATTACAGTTATAATTTTCAACTGTCTTTGTTATGAGCATCCTGCCTTTGCCTTTCGGTCCTGCCTAATCTTGTTTTACCCTGTACATTTACTGCCTCACTTCCTTCTTCAGAAATGGCAAGTTTTCTTTCTGCTCTGTTAAGTATGTAAATGTCTTTAATGCAGAGAGATGAGGGAGGATAAGTGAGCTACCGATGTGGAGGGTTTGTCCAGGAGAAATGCAAAGACGGGAGACTGGAAAAAAATCAGGCAGGTCTGGGGAATGTGGAGGCCTGTGGAGTGCCCGTTGGGCAGGGCATGGGGAGGAGTAGCAACGATGAGAAATGACCTTCACTTTCTCCTGTGACCAGGGACACATTTGTGATGGAAGATAGCTGTGTCACTTATGGGATAAAGTGCTAAATAAAGCTAACAGAAAACTACATGGATTGCACTCAAGATATGACTTCTTGTCCCCTCGCTCTAAAAGTTACTGTACAAATATTTTCTTTTCCTAATGTGCCTATGAATTTCTAAATTTGAAGAGGACTTCTGTAAAAGGGGGAGAATGTGAAGACAAGCAAGGGCCAACAGTTGTCCCTGAAGAAGATTCAGGTGCCTGGAGAGAGCCAAGGAACGGCTGGTCTTTGCCAGGTGAAACAGCCCAAGGGCAGATACCAAAATGACTTGGAGTCTTGCTCCCCATGACATTAAACAGCACTGTCCACTAGACATTTCCTATCTGCACCAACCAGTTTGGTGACTCCGACTATATGTGGCTAATGAGCACTTGAAATGTTAGGGCAACTGAGCAAGTTTATGCACTGAGTTATGGAACAAATGACTGTTCAATCTTATTTTTAATTAAAATTCAGTTATTTAGCCATGGCTGTGGCTGCCATTTTGATCAGCACAGCCACCAGACTTCATGACACATTGACCAACATGTCCCCCAGCATAGTTTGGAGAAGGAGCACTGCAAACGGATGAGCTCGTGATCCTCTTGCCACTGTGTGCTCCTCACCTGCAGTGCTGAAGAAGTGGGAGTGAGAATCGAAACCTGGCAGAGGAGCTGGGCCAGGGCAAATGGTGAATCAGCGCATCCTGTGCAGGAAACACTACCAGTCGTATTCGCCAAGTGTGCTCTCACAAATCCCTGACTGGGAGTTGCTTGGAACTCCAGAAGAAAATCAAAACACCCCACCTTGACTTTTCCAGAAGGTGGGATTCTTTTGTGTTTACTTCAATTTTTGCAAGATTTAAAAGAAAATCCCTCCAGCTGTTAAGGAGCTTTAGAAATAGGAAAAATTAACATTCGTCATGCTCATCTTCTGAGAATTTTTTATTCAAGTAATTAGAAGTGAGCTGAACCTCGAAAGTCCAAATACTTCATTTGATAGATTAAACAAGCACGTTTGTTATTTGGTCCCCAGCTCACGTGTGTACCTTCAGCCCCATTCATGCATGCAAGGAGGGAAATGTGCTTTGCTGAGCTAAGCCACAGGCTCAGAAGCTCTGAGGCAAAACCCTGCCTCCTCTCCTTAATGACAGGAGGGACACCACTGGGCGTCCACAGGCCTCGCCAGGATCATGTAGACAGCTGGGGGAGAGGCTTTCCTGGGGTTTCTTTGAGGAAGAGGATCAGAGCTATTAGAAAGCATTTTAACAAAGGAAAAGTACCTCTAAAGTCAATCATAATGAGTTACATATTTGATTTCCCCCGTTTTTGAGGGAGAACAACTCTTTACTAGATAATCTCAAGGTAACAAAAGTGCCGTTAGGTTTCACATGTCCGTTTTTAAGAGAATTATTACAAATTGAAAGGGAAGTGAGTGGCTGCCACAGACACTGTGACCCATTTTCAAATAATGATTGTGACTTGAGTCATTTCTGAGAAACAAGTTAACAGATTCTTCCATTTTGACCACCGGGTTATATTGCTCAAGTCCATTTGCTTGTGCCCATTGGAAGACTCCACTGCACATTATTTTGGAGACGGTCATCCTGAGTCAGACTGAGTAATCGTGGCTAAGAAGTTTGGTTTCCCTTTTATTTATTTTTCACTCAACATTCTGTATCTACCCCATTTTTCTCTTTTCTCCACTGAGCCACTTAAGCACATGAATAATATTCTTAAAGAACAAAAAGGAAATTTCCATATTGTGAAGGAACTCCACTCAGAATAGAGTGCCACATTATTTATTATCCTAACTGAATGTAATGGTTTGGATGGGAGGTGTCCCCCAAAGAGCTCCTCTGTGGATGCAGGCGTGTTTAGAGGTCAAACTATTGGACTGTGGGAGCTTTCACCTAGTCAGCCCATCCTAGTTTGAATGGACTGGGTGGTGACTGTAGGCAGGTGGGGCATGGCTGGATGAGGTGGGTCACTGGGGCTGTGCCCTGGAAGGGTACAGCTTCCCTGCACACCCTCTCTTGATCCTGCCATGAGCTGAAAAGCTTTACTCTGCTAGACTCTGCTCATCATGATGTGCCACCTCTCCTTGGGCCTAAAGCAGTGAAGTTGGCCATCTCTGGACTGCCAACTCCTAAAACCATAAGCCTCAAATAAACTTTGCCTCCTCTAAGTTGTTCTTGTTCAGTATTTTGGTCACAGCAATGAAAAGCTAACTAAAACACTGAGACATGTCAGAGAATGAAAGGAGATCATTTTATTAATTATACTGGGGCAACAAGAATAAACTAATCACCCTAAATAAAGACATTTTAAAAAAATATGTAAAGATGATCAGCCTTATTGGTTACCAAAGCAAATGGGGCCATCATATGCCCACCAAATGGGTAAAAATTTAAAAATACAACAGTGTCAATGTTAAAGACTTGGAGCAATTGGAACTCATCTCATGCTGTTGTAAGTACATTTTACAATCACTTTTGAAAACAATTTCACATTATCTAGTAAAGATGAACGTGAAGAAATTATTACCCTATGATTCAGTAACTTTACAACTGGAATACTCAAACTTCTTTATGAAAACCTAAAACTATAAATAATACATCGAAATGGGCACCTTTAAATAATAGCTACATTCATCAATATCAATAAGTCTTTCAAACATTTCATTTATTGATAGAAGCAAGTCAAAATACACAGCCATTTATCTGAGTACAAAGGAACTAAACAAGATGCACACTTGGGTGGTGAGACGATAAAAGCATGGGTGTCTGTGTTGGTCAGCTCTCCATTGCTGTAATAAATACCTGAGATAATCAGCTTGGAAAGGTGTTTTTTGGCTCATCGTTTTGGAGGCCTTGGTCCCTGGATGGTTGGGCCCCGTTGCTTTTGGACCTGTGGAGAGTCAACGCGTCATGACGGGAGCAGTTAGAAGAGCAGAGCTGTTCACGCCGGGGCTGGGAACAAAAGGACCAAGGTGGCCTTTGAGGGCACACCCCCAATGTCCTAAAGGCCTCTTGTAGGCCCCACCTCTTAAAATTTCTATTGCCTCCCACACTGAGGACTAAGACTACCACGGGGACTTTGGGGAACACATAAGATCCAAACTACAGCAGCAGGATTAATTCTAAAGTTGGGACGGTGGTGGCTCCTTGGGGAGGGAAGACCACAGTAAAGATGCCTTCTAAGGTCTGGAAATTATTTCTTAACCCCAGTGTTGGATATGGATTTATTTATCCCTCAGAGTGGAAAAACACTGTGTTAAGTTAAATGAGGAGAAGGATGGCCATTAGAGCTGCCACCCTCTGGGCTTTTTCTGCCTCTGTGCTTGAGCAAGGCCTTGTAACCAGTTCTGGCTGAAGACTTCTGAGAATAATGATGTGTGTCATTTCCAGGCCAAGAACTTGTTGCCATTGCTGGGCCCATCAGAGCCTTCTTTTCCTCAGGCATGGTGACTGTCATTGCTCCAGATTGGCAGCTGCTCCATCAGCCTGGAGTGAGGACAGCATGGATTGGGGTCCTCTGCCAACCTGCAATATGTAGAAAGAGCAAGAAATAAGCCTTCATTGTGTTAAGCTACTCCAGATTGTTAGGATGCCATAAACCAGCCTTTCCTAATGACCTAGAGAATGACAGTGGTGGGTTCTTATCTTAATTCCATAAAAGTGGATCATGGAAAGAGTGGAAGAAAGAACATGTCTTTTTTCCACATTTTTGTACATATTGGCGGGATTTGTTGTTACATATTCATATATGATACAATATAACTATATAATTTGTTCAGTATCACTTGCCAGAACTCCCCCACTCCCTCCCCCTTGGTTCCTTTCCTCTACTGATCTTCCTGTGATTTTTAGGACATCCATCCCCACCTTTCTTTTCCTTTTTCCTCTCTAGCCTCCACATGTGAAAGAAAACATACAATCCTTAACCTTCTCATTTTGGCTTATGTGGCTTAACATGATGATCTCCAGTTCCATTTGTGAGAAATAGCATTTCTGACCAAGGAAACGTCCCAGTACAAGGGCCTTGAAGTGGGACTGAATTTTGAGGAACAAGAAGAATGCCAGAGGGGAAAGTGGCGAGAAGAGGAGAGATCAGTAAGAAACGTGACCGCAGAGGCTGGCAGAACTCAAGAGTTGTAGACCATGGTCAAGAACTGATGTCTATCCCTAGGCAGCCACAGCTGGGCTTAGGTAGGAGGATGACATCATACAGATCTCATTTTAAAGAGGGTAATTCTTGCTGTTGGGGGAAAGATATAGGCGGAGGGCAAGCACTGACCTACATAGCCCACTTAGCCACCATAGTGAGAGATGGACGGTGGTACCTTGAACTTCAGTGGTATCAGGCAAAGCAGAAGGGGAATTAAAAAAAAAATTAATGGGCACAATACCTTTTATTTGTTTATTTTTTATGTGATGCTGAGGATCAAACCCAGTGCTTCACACATGCTAGGCAAGCTCTACCACTGAGCCACCACCCCAGCCCCAGAAGTGGAATTTTTGAAAATGTGTTTTTTAGATGGATCTGACAGAACTTGCAGAAAGATGGGAAATGGAGATTGAAGGAAGGAGAAGGCTCACAGCTGACCTTCATGTTCTGGGTTGACAACTGTATTTAAGATGGGGCCATTTATTGAAAAGGGAACAAATGAGAACAGATTTGAAGACAGCAAGTGGAGGTTGGCTTTGGATATCTATTGGCATCCATGTGTATATGTTCAAAGGAAAAAAAAACACTAAATAGAAAATGTCACCTCTCAGAGGAATGAGCCAAAGATGTCAATGTTTGGAAGTTAGGATTTAAATGATATTTAAGTCAGGAAATTAGATTAGATCATCTCTAGAGAGGTTATAAATAGCAAAAAGATGTAGCAATGAGAATAACCCAGCCAAATATATGGACATTGGAGCCAAGAGAAGCAAGTGTATTTTGATGCTTTTGAGAGGTTGAGTGAGACACGCGGTGGTGACAGTGTCAGGCACCGGTAGGCCACCAGTGACTTCCACAAGA